CGACCCAGCCCGAACCTCACAACGTGGAAATCCTTCCAAATGTATTTTATATTCTTCGCCATTGTATCCTGTACTTGCCACCTGGGTCGCATCGTGACACAGAGTAGACATTTCAATCTTTCGCAGAACAGTGCAACCGTTTGTGTGTGAAGAGAACGGCCCACGGAAGCGGATATCTAAGATCTACTTCCAAGATCACATTACGTTATCACTGTTCCGCACAGTAGGGGGCACCACTTTCTCAGATATGTATGTTTGCCAATTTTAATTCAGAGCCAAATTTCATGCGATTTTTATTTCATGCGTGTCGTCATTTGTGTCCAGGCTGAGACCATCAACTCACTACGCTTGAGAACGGCTGAAGCCTGTGTTGGAACTTAGCATATCAGCGGCGCCATCTGAGCACTCTGGACTCACCCGGATACCTCCGAATCCTTTCAAATGTAAAGCCACACACACACAGACACTCTGGGTGCACGATGACATGACATTAGAGTAACCCCCGATTGGCCTATAAACTGAGAAAATAAAGGGGTTGGGGCTGTATGAGAAAACATTGTAAAAATCTCATCAATTATTTAAAGTAAAGCTCAAATAAGAGGATGAGGCCTCGTGAGTCAGAGGACCAAGAGTTATGTCTGTACCCTCCGCCCTGTCCCCACGATCGTCATCATATCGTATGAGAGGCTGTGAACGTGTTTTTGGATTATTTATAGTATCATTCGCTCATCTGCTTCATTCCTAAAACAAATACAACAGGAAGAACGAAGACACCGATACCCAGTGACAAGTTGTACACAAACAAGTAACTCGAGTGTCTTTAAAATAAATACAATTCGTGTATGGATCGTTTGCTAATCCACTGCTGGACGATAGTTGTCTCTGTGCCGTGGCCGGTAATGGAAGTTGGTTGTTTTTTTTAACCATACTTCATCACGCTGGTCAGTGCAGGTTTGTGAAGGGGCAGGACCAGTTCAGATACCACTCTCTGTCGCAGCTATCCATGGCCTGGAATCAAACTTGGGTTATCTGGTTCGTAGCGCAGTGTTCTGATCCTGCACAATTGTTTGGTTCCTCCGGTGTGCTTATTACAAATTTACAAGACCATCTATCAAAATATCTCGCAGAGTAATTGTTTAATTTTTGTATTTTAAAACGTGTCTAAGATGATGTCATCACAGGCTGTATTTCACGTGACGTACAATAATGAATCCCGTTTACTAAATTTCATGTAAGGTCAGTGTTGACCCTATATGACGTATGACAACACCCCACCCTAAACGCGTCAGGTCTCATCAAAACACAGTGTCGTAGCAGGAATAGAGGGCCTGGTTAGTAGGTGGATGGATGGGTATTCTTAGGTTTTTTCGGTAAAGTCACGTAGGTAAAAAATTAAATTAATAAAAGTAAAATAAAAATCACGACGTTTCGGAGGCTGTATAGATAGCTGTATCGTGATGTGACGGTTCCACCTGAAGACGGAAGCTTGTGTTGTCTCCGAAATGTCGTGATTTTATTTATTTTTATTTTACTTTTATTAATTTTAAATTTTTACCTACGTGACTTTGCCGAAAAACCTAAGAATATGAATCCTTGCAGTCACGAAAGCTTCAAATCTAGAATTAAGGTGGATGGGTGTTTGAGCACCACACCTTGAGAGGCGCGTTGTAGGGGTGGAGTGCGAGATGACACCAGTACGTGGCAGTGTTGAGTGTCAACTTTTTCACTTCCCAACCATAACGATTCACTAATTTTATTTTTGTTTCTTGGTTCTTTCGGCAAAGTCACGTAGAAGGGCAATAATAAAATAATAAAAAATAAAACATAATAAAATAAAATTATCTGAGAATTTTCTCTGAGAATTTTATTTTATTATGTTTTCTCTGAGAATTGTATTATGTTTAATTGTTATTATTTTATTATTTCCCTTTTACGTGACTTTACCGAAAGAACCAAGAAGATGAAGCCCTGCAGTCACGAAAGCTTTAAATCGAAATGTAATTTTATTTTAGCAATGTAAGGCCCCACAGAGCTATGTAGCTCTTCTTCAGAAACGACCTGGCCACAAATGGCAGCTCAACGAACGGGCTTATCATGTGTAAATTTATAACAGGAGCCAAATATCTTCTTGGTTCTTTCGGTAAAGTCACGTAGAAGGGAAATAATAAAATAATAAAAATAAAACATAATAAAATAATTCTCACGACGTTTTGGCCACAATGCAAGCAGCCGTCCTCAGGTGAAGAACAGGTCTGTTGGAAGGACAGCGTCTGAATGGGCACCACCAGGTTTGGCAGCGTATATTTAGAAAGAACCAAGCAGATGAATCCCTGCAGTCACGAAAGCTTTAAATCGAAATTTAGGAGCCAAATACTTGAAATGCACGTTTTTAAATATGTACTGTAGTCCAATGCTTTCCCAGATGGCGCTTAAAAGGCAATTATGGTATTGTATTGTCCAAACACCTTAAAGCAGGACCCTACTGGAAAAACGGGAGTTGAGATTCAGTGAAAACTTCTGCAATCTTAAAAGCCTTATTTTTTATTTCAAATAACCTTCAGAATTCCACACAACTCACAGTCTGAATCCCACAACCACAGCAACGGTCGTTGTAAAATTTCGATTGAAAGCTTTCGTGACTGCAGGGATTCATCTTCTTGATTCTGTCGGCTGTCTTCACCTGATGACGGCTGCTTGTGTTGTGGCCGAAACGTCGTGAGAATTTTATTTAATAATATTTTATTTTTATTATTTTATTATTTCCCTTCTACGTGACTTTACCGAAAAAAAACAAGAAAACGAATGCTGTGTTTCCAAACCCGTCTGAGTTTGCCTACGATTTTGGGTGTTTTGTTTTCATCCAATCCGGACCGACAACCAACGATCCATCCCGGATTTCGCTTCCAGCCCACCCCAACCACCACCACACTGAAGCAGCCGCCATGAAACCCGGTGGCCGCGGATTTCGCTCCGGATCTTCGCTACTACGAAGTCCGTGTCGGGGTTTTGCCGGTTCCTCACCACCCCCAACCCCATTCCGCCTTCTTCTTCTTCTGCTCGGCCCGCTTGGCCAATCGGAGGCCGCCAGGGTATTGTTGTTTACGACAAACGTGCCGCAGGTTTTCGTCTTGATTCCGCCTTGTTGTGGTAGGGATTATTTTTATTTTTTTGGTTAATCGTTCGAAATTAAATCTTTGGATTGCAGGACGCCGCGGTTTTTTTTATTTTTTTCCGAGGGGTTAGTGATATTCAGCATCATCATCACCACCGCCGCCGCCGGTCGTCATCATCATCTTCATCAGCAGCACCACCACGAACCATCATCATTGTTATCATTACCCTAATTGGTTGCGTGTCTGTGTGTGTGTGTGTGCCTCTGCGGCGGGGCTGGTTGGTAGTGATGATGGTGGTGGTGCGTGTGTGTGTGTTGTTGTTGTTGTTGTCTGGGTGTGTGTGTGTGTGGAGCGAGAGGGATGTTGTTGTTGTTGTTCGTTCGGCCGCAACGTGCAGAGTTTTGTAAACACGTAGGTCCGGTCTATATTTATTTCAACGTGTGCTGACCGTAGTGCTTTTGTTAATTGGGGACGTGGTGTATGTGATGTGTACATTCACATTACGCGTGTGTCTGTGTGTTTAACCTGCGTCTGTCCGTGTTGTTTACAATCGGCAGCTACCGACTGACTGCTTCGTTTGGGGGGGGGGGGTGGTCATTGTTTATTTCGCTATATTTATTTAATTTTCCCTCCCACAAAAAATAATGTTGTTTTGGGTTGTAATTTTAGCGTTTTCCGATTTGACTTAAAACATGTTTTGATTATATGTGTAAAATAAATTCGGGTTGGGATTTCCCCCGCCCCCCCCCCCCCCAAATAATATCCCATATTTTGATTTAATTTTGAAGGCGATATTTTTGTTTAGTAAGGGAAATTTGGGGATGGGTTAAAAAAGGCCGATTTATTCACGTGAACACTTTGCATGTAGCGATTTTTATTTTGTTATATTTTGTAACAGAGAGATAGAAATAAAACAGCGAGGGTGTTTTTCCGTTCTTGTTGCGGAAAGCAACGATTTATGGCAATTTACTTTAATAACGAAGGCATTCGAAACACAAAACAAACGTGTTTCGCAAAACCTTGATTTCTTGTACGAGAATAAGGTACATGAAAATAGAACGAAAATTAACACAATATTTTTTTTTATTAAGTAAGTCTTTAATAAAAAAAAATACGGTGATGACGCTTTGAAAAAAAACAAGGCAGAATATATTAAAACAAAAATGTAAACGCATTGATTTTATTTATTTAAGTAATTAAGAATACATTGCAATCGCACATTGCATACTTATGGCAGAATATTTAAAATATTTTTTAATAGAATAGTTTTTATTTATTATTAATTTCGGGAATTAAGGATGCAATGAGCATATTGCTCTGGGCTCTCCAAGGAACTCAATATTTGGGGCCAGACCTATATGCGACAACTTCGCATCATTATTTTGGCTCATGCAGAAAGTCTCCCCAAAATCGTGAGAACATTTGATAAAATGCACCCTTATTCCGTTATTTTATATCTCGATATCTGTATTTTTTAACCATTTTTTAACAATTGTCTTTTATTTTGAACATTTCCGTGTGCCTGTAAAGTGCTTATTAAAAAAAAAACGACTACTTCTGCTACTTGAAAAAAACCAGCCCATACTGTATACACAGATTTTTTTTTTCCCCCAATTAAATTTATAATTTTTTCCTAATTTTTAGTAAATTAAAAAATCGAGACACTCAAAAAATTGCGCGTATGGGGTGAAGATAGTGGCAGAGTGGGGTGGGAGGGAGGGCCCAGGAGCCGTCCGTCTCGTAATCCACATTAGCAATTCATTGGGCGCCTGCCCCATCCGCTGGTTCATTCGCCGTTCACAGCCTCCTCCTCCTTCTTCCTCCCTCCCTCCCTCCTCCTCCTTCCATCCTCGTTTCACGTGAAGCCACCACCCAGCTCAGCCCCAACCCAACCCCCAATCTCATCAAGCCAGACAACACAGACTCAGCTCAGCAGCCACCCAGACAGACAAGACAGACAGACACGAGCCCCCCGGCTCTCCGCCAAGACGTGGCTACAACAACAACACCACCACCAGCAACAACAACAACAACCACCACCGAGCAATCGCACTGACCTCGATCAAAAGAAAAATCGCTGAGGGCGAGTAAGGGTGGCTTGGTTTAGGTGGGTGGCGAGATGGGTGGTGGGTGGTGGCGTTAAGGAGTGTTTGGTTGGTGGTGGTGGTTGTTGTTTGTGCGTCGAGAAGGAGGGTTGTTGTGGTGGTGGTGGAGGGGGGGAGAAGAGCAGCAGAGAGGAGGGAAGTGTTGTGCTGTGTGTTTGGTGGTGGTGTGTGGTTTAGTCGTGGAGGAGGCGACAACAACAACAACAACGGCTGGGCGATAGGACACCGCGTGTGGAGGTGGTGGTGGTGGCGGTGGCGATCGACGGACGAGGAGAGAAGAGAGAGAGGACGAAGAAGAGAGGAAGAGGAGATACGTGAGACGATACAAGAAGAAAAACAGGCAAAGATCTGCTTTGGTGAAGAGGGAGGCGAGCGAGAGGAGGGAGACGGGAGAGGAGGAGGAGGCGGCAAGACGCGGCATGGAGTCTCCGCTGTGTTCACGACGGCGGCTGCTGCTGCTGTGTTTGTGTTGCGTGGTCACGTCAAGCCTCGCCTCCGCCAAAAGTAAGTTGTTCTTGCGATTTGCATTATTCTCGTCGTCAATTATGTATTCGCAACGTATGTTCGTTATTATGATAATAATTAAAAAAAACATACGATCGACAGCAAATTTTTATTTCGCGTTTCGATCACTCACACGCACGCACATGTGCCGATGTAAATTTTTGGTTGTTGTTGTTTTCCCCATTCACCCGCTCTGCTTTTCCCTCTTGTGCCGTGGTTTCCCCAAACGCGTGTCACTTGCATCGTTGGTATTGCTGCTGCTACTGCTACGCTCCCCACCCAGCCTCTCTCCCCGTCTCGTTTTTTCTCGTAATATTTTTTTGTTATTTTTTTGGCTTCTTCCTCCTCACCACCACCATCACCACCAATCTCCTCCTCCTCCCTCCTTTCTCTCTCTCTCTCTCGGGGTCATTCTTCACGTGGGGGCCCCCCTCTTGTTGTGGGGGCAGGGCAGGGACATTCCATAGATGATTAACGGAGACGCTCATAGTTTCCACCGCTGGGAAAGAGGGCTAATAGGGGGGGCCCCCCACATGTGTCGTTCGAATAGACAGAAAATGCCCCCCACCACTCAGCTAACCATCCCTAGCCACATCCCCAATCGTTGTATCCGTGGCCTTTCGGATAATGTGCTCGTGTTTTTAGGCAAACATTCATTAATTGGTGCTGGATACAGATTTTCGCAAGACACGTACGCATGCGTTTATACTGGAGGAATCCGATGAGCTATGAAGCTCTTTAACCACACACGTCCCAGGGGTTTAGTTGGTAGGAAAACTTTAGTGGTAGTGGTGGTTGTTGTTGTTGTTTGGGCCCTGTCCGTTGTTGTTGTTGTTGCTGCTGCTGGTGGTGGTGGTGTTGTTATTGCAGCAATAAGGTTGCAATCAATGACACGAAATGGTCGTTTAGGTTGTTGGTTATTACGGCAAATTGCTCTCTTGCCCGTGTGTGGCTTAAAAGTCATCGTTGTTACTCTTTAACCCCCGTGGCAAATGTGAGTGGTAAGTGGTCAAACGTTTCGGATCATGGCAGGATCCTCCTGAAAATGTGTCTTGGGTTTGGTGACGAGTCTGGATAAATACTGTAAATGGATTTGTTGGTATCGATGGTGTTGTTATTATGAACATGAATCATCTTGGGTGTCTTGAGTGGTGACGATTCCATGTTTATGTGCCGGTTACTGCCGTCCAGTAGTGTGTGTGTGTATATATATCACTGCTGATTAATCACAATGTGTTCATCACATATGCAGCATTTTAATACGTGCAGTGCATTAAAAATCTGTACAGCACTTGGTAGTGTGTCAAATATCTTCCAGTACACGTACTACCTGCGAATAGATGTACAACACCGGATGCTTTAGTAGATGAATTACATAGTTTTATTGTGGCCAAATCACGACGTTTGAGCATTGAGAAATTGCAAATTTCACGGTACATCCAGTGCCAAGTGCATGGGGGTTACAGTGTTGAGGTTGAGCATCATCCAGGCTGCAAATGGAAGGCGTCTAGACACACACACGTGTGTCATTCGTGACTTTGAAACGTTGATCAAATTGCGTGGACTTCACAGATTGCGTGGACTTCACTAACAGGGGACTCCGTCGTGTTCATGATACAAACGCGGTGCCCCCCCACGTTTTGAAAGTCGTAATAATTCGTGACCGTTCGCGAGCATTTGATTTATGGAGTGCACTCACACCCTGCAATTCACGTGTTTTATATTTCCATGGAAGCCTAAAAACCCGATTGTAGCAGTTGTTAAAACGCATATATATAGGTATAAAACAAAATGATAGGACGGTTTGGAGAGATGCGTTCATTCGAGAGGGTATTTGCTGGTGATTATAATATCAATGAACCCAGAATTGTGTGAAGAACCACGTGGAAATGTGGTCTTGATGCCCCCGCACCATTCGGCGTTGACGTGTGGCAGGTTTTCGTGATGGATGTTGTTGTTGTGTTTGAGGAGCGGTGGTGTCGTGGTTAGCGCACTGCGCTACGAACCCGGCGACCTGAGTTCGATTCCCGCTCACGGCCAACACCGGTGACGATTATCTGCACGATCATGGAGCTCCCCTAGGTCGTCTCGGCCTCAGATGAGTACCTGGTGAGGTGTTAACATCGTCAATGGGGAGACAAAGGCGGCCGGGCGTGGTGCTGGCCACCCACCCCCTCGTGTGCCGTGCCTTAATAGGTGCTGCTGCTCGCTAACAGCACTTGCCCCAGCAGTCTGTTACAGGCTACACGGGGGATCTTTGTCTTTGTAGCATCAAAACGAGGGGATGTCAAATTTATCGACCGTCTTTGTTTCGTGATTGTTTTGAGCGAAGTTCCGTTGCGTGCATTGGCGATCGCTTGGCCAAATAAGTTGCAACTAAAAAACAAATAAAACACTTTCCACGTTTTAAAAGTCTCGCGTTCCAGGACGAGGATGAAGGAGGAGGTTATAGCAGCTAACTTTCTTCATAATATAGGTTTTTGGGTCAGATCGCGTTATTTATAAATGTGTCGTAACCCTCCACCACCCGACACAGCCAAACAGTAAAACATTTGTAAATGTGTAAAAATTACCAGCGAAACGTCGTACTCAAATTTGAAAATGCTGTTGATTCTCTCTTCAACACACTGGTTGGCTAAAAGAAGTTAATTATTTTGTCTATTTGAAAAACGTGACACATTTTTTACTGTTTGGCCGTGTCGGGTGGTGGAGGGTTACGACACATTTATAAATAACGCGATCTGACCCAAAAACCTATATTATGAATAATATTTGTCGCGAAAGCCTACGTGTTGAGCTAACTTTCTGGTGCCACCCTTCGACTGCCACGAAATTTAATGTGCAGCAGACAGCTGGGGCGACTAATGCTGTTCATGTGTGATGTGTTCCCAATGATCTCAGAGACTATGATCTCCACAATGGATGTTTCTCTTCCGTTTCCACAAGATGAAAAAAATATATCTGTGCCAACGATATCAGCGGCACTTGTTTGTACTTTGTGAAATAGTCCTGCACGTTTTAATTTATACAAGTTTAGGACGTGTAATGATTATGTCACGCGATACGTAAGTCGTATTTCGGAGTGATTTATCTTTCGTGGAAATGCACACTTGTTATGAAAGTCGTGACCACACTGAAATGTACTTTCAGAACGGCGCGCAACAATAATAATAACAACGCCTCTAATGCTACGTTCATTGTTAAATGCTACACGTTACTAAGGCAGTTGCTGAAACATGTTACACTGATTGTGAACGCTTCTGGTCGAATAGTGAGAAACGATAAATACAGTTCTTAAAAAAACATAAAGAGCAACTTGCTTTGTTGAATTTGTAACTTAGCCGACATTAGGCATACACTTGCGATCATTTATCTGATGTCTGCAGTCGTTTTAAGTTACACAGACATTTTAAAACTATTAATTTGGATTCCGGATGCCACCCTAATGGGGATCTCATGTGAAAAATATGACTGAGACTCCCACTTCTCAGTGGTGGTTGCACAAGTAATTGCTAAACACGACCACCAGGGTCAGAAATGAGGAGCATAGAACCCGTGTTAAACTTCTCACGAGTATTTAATGAAAGCCCTATCGTGTGGGCTTGTTCTAAAAAGAAGAAACAACGCAAACACCCATTGCTCGCTTATACCCACTGCACGAATGACCTGCCAAGTTTTTATTTTTATTTACAATTGTGGAGTTCACAAGCTTTAGCGAACGCAAGATAGCAGAGATTCTTTTTTTTTTGCCTGTTGCCAAAGTATTTCCAGTAAGCTTGTTGAAACTCCAGACCTGTTTTTCGATCAAGGGGGGACCCGTACGGACTGTTCAAGAACACAAATGAAAGCCGCAGATTTGAACCAGAGTTTGCGTACATTACAAAAGAAAAGGGCCACTGTAGTTAAATTAAAATCGAGTTTAAAACGGCTCCGTTGTACCGCGTATTTAGTGGAGGGGGCTAGCAATGAAACGCGTGTGGTGCAGCTCATCATAAACTATTAAAGTGCCGTAAATTAAAATCTGTAATAATTCGTAAGGTAACCAGTTGTTTTTCCCCACCTCAAGTAAAATAACTTGCGTTCGTACAATCACGAGAAACAACTTGTGTGTCGCTGCCCGCAATGTTTGTCGCCTGCTTCCGAGTTGCATAAGGACACACACACTCTGTATACACAGTAATGGTAGTGTTTGCGTACCATACACACAGTCTTCATCAAGATATATATATATATGATGGTGTTGTAACAGCACTTTATCAATCCACTGCTCGATGAAGGAAGGCTCCCATCCACAAGCCGTGTCACGTCAAAGCCGGTCAGAGCGGGTTCAGCTATCGCTCATCACGAGTTGTGTATTGTGTGTGTCTTGTTATGATCGACCGCCGAAACTCATTGTTGTCCACATTTTCTTTCTTCCTGCTTCGGTTTTTTTCTTGCCCCCCCCCAACAAAGTTGTGCCCTCCCTGTGTGTGGCGTCCAGAGAAAATGTCTCCGGCTCGTTTGGGAAAAATCTTGCTATTCCCTTTACTACTTTACTCGATGCGACACGTTAGAGTCGCGACAAAGTTCTTGTCACAGCAACAACAAAAACATCGCCCCCCAAAAAAACCCAACTCTTGAACGTTTTGGATAAACGCTGCCACACGAGAGAGAGAAAGAGAAGCAGGGCTGATTCAACAGATTGAAAGATGACATCTTATATTTTTTTCCCATACGGGAGTTTTATTTCCTTTGCTTCAAGTTTTCGTGACATGCCGTATTGGAACCGGGGCCAGATCCATTGGTTTTCTGCCACCAGAATTACTAAAAGTTTTCTGTTGTGGGCCAGTCGGCGGGCGTCAAGTTATTTGTTTACATGTTTTACGTGTTTATGTACAATGTCACAAGGCAAGTTGTCTGCCAAGGTCATTGTTGTTCCAAATGAAGGGGGACATGGGGGTGTGTGTGTGCATGCGCATTGGTAGCAAGTTTTGAAAGTCACGTGAAGTTGGTTTGGATTT